GAAGAAAGATTGCAAGAGCTGGGCCTGTTCAGCCTGGAGAAGAGAAGATTGAGAGGGGATCTCATCAATGTGTACAAGTATCTGCAGGGGGAGTGTCAAGAGGATGGGGCCAGCCTCTTCTCCGTGGTGCCCAGCGACAGGACGAGAGGCAACGGGCAGAAACTGAACCACAGGAATTTCCATCTGAACCTGAGGAAAAACTTCTTCACTGTGAGGGTGACTGAGCATTGGAACAGGTTGCCCAGAGAGGTAGTGGAGTCTCCTTCCCTGGAGATATTCCAAACCCGTCTGGATGTGATCCTGGGCAATATGCTCTAGAGGTCCCTGCTTGAGCAGGGAGGTTGGACTAGATGATCTCCAGAGGTCCCTTCCAACCTCAACCTTTCTGTGATTCTGTAATTCCCCTCTCCTACCACATTTCCTCAGGCAGACCTGGCCAGAAAAAAAGATGCAGGATTTTGGCCATCAAAAGCTAGTATTTTCTCCAGAAGGCTCAAATATTTGGGAAATACAAACTCAGAAGTCAGACTAGGGGAGTCTAAATCTAGCCTTCAGAGAATAAGCATCTTGCTCAAGGCTGCAATCCATTCTAACTTGAGTTAGATTTTTCTCCTTAGAAAAAGCATCAATATTCAATCACGGATCAGTAATAGCATTGTTTACACTAGATTTGTTCTATGCTCTAGTCCTAGACATGAGATATGGGCAATCATTGAGAACGTACAGGAGACCAGATTTTTCGAGATCTGCTAAGCTTAGTGACTGAAGTTACTACTAAAAGGCAGTGAAATTCTTGTCAGATTGGCTGAGTTTTAGCACAGAGAGGGACACTGAAGTCCCCTCATCACCCACATACTTGAACGATTTGTTTAGACTCCTGCATATTCACTATCAGCTCTAAATTCTGATGCAAGAACAAGGGAGGCTAAATTAGCATGGTGTAACACAAAAGGACAAGCAGAAGAGTATGAAAGAACAGCAGTTAAGAAGAAGGTTGAGAAAGATGCAGGTTAAAAGCAGGTCATCTTATTCAGCTCCTGATTAAGTTTTGGAGATCTCTGTGCAAGTGATACCAACTTGAATCCTAAGGCTATAAAAGGCTACAGACAGGTGAAAGAGAAGACAAAAGAATTCTCTTTAACAAGCCTCCAAGGCTTGCGGTAACTCATCCCTACCTCAAAGAATGAAGCAGTCTAATTGCTGTATTGGTTCAGGGTTGTAGCACAGATTTTCATTCTACTGAAAATAAAAATTTCTACCCTGTTCTGGGGAAAGTTCAGGTGTTGCTGAATGTCAACTGTTGTTGATGTGCATTAGTTCTGTTAAGATTTACTTGACATAAAAAGCTGTTGCTTAGATGGCCCTGTATGCTAAGGGGAAAAAGAAAAAAATGAAAATAAGACATCATTAGCTGTACAATTATAAGAAAAGAAAAACCCAAAGCAACAGACAAGAACACACGAAAATTTAAGAGAGTACAGATGTAATGACATTTATTAAAAGGCATGCTACAACAACTAGAGCTGTTAGGGAGAGTTAGGTATAGACACCAAGTAATCAGCAAATGCACTAACTTGGAAGAAACAGAATATATTGCAGTACTCACAAATTCAAATTAACCATGCACTACACAGTTAGAAAATAGGTTTCTTTAATATTCCATCATCTTTGCATTTATAATATAAGTCATCTCAACAGACACGGAATCCTTTTTTTCCAGTGCCACAAGCTGCTTTACAAATGAAAGCTTGTACTGTTGCTTATCAAAATATACAAGACAACTGATGTTTTTATATAAAAAACATTTTACACTAACTTGATCTGCAAAACCCTTTTTTGCAGGTTAAAAAAACGAGGTTAAAAATATTTACAGCACTTTCTTGTGTTAGATGAACGGACTGAACAGTAGATGAAAACAGACGTTTACGAATAGATTATGTAAAAAGAGGAAATGTCAGCACTTCCTAGCCATGCTATGTGTTTTGAATACAGTACTAAAAGTAGTCCATTAACCCCTTGCCTTTTCCCACACCATTTGGTTCATATTAAGATCCCATTTTCCATTAAGTGGTCATCTACCAAGAGTAGACTCAAATAGAGGCAACTTTACATTTGGTCTTCCCTTCAAAAAGGAGCTTGAGAGAAAACAAATTTTCACAGAATTGTCTCAGGTAAACCATCACGGATAGTCTTTGGTCAGAACAATGAGGTGAAATTCTGATGCAAAAATCTGCTTGGTTAGCAACCTCAGACTTGTGCTGCTGTGGCTCTGAGGTGAACTTTCGCAGAAAGTGGATAACATATCCAAACAGAATTACAACGTGCTTAAAATGGAACTAGCACATAGTGGGTAGATTCCCACTCATCATAAATATGCAGTTTCCAAGAACAGAAAAACTGTTTTTAGTGATGACATTAGTCTGTTAAGGTAAGAACTTTCTTCATCTGTCAAGGACCTTCAACTACAAAAGTATTTCACTTCTTGGGGACTATTCCAGTTGCAACCTGTTATCACTGTCCTAAGTTTGCAGTATGTGAATTATTCTTGAATTCCTGCATATTGCAATACAAAAAATATTTCCATCATAAAGGCATAAGGGATAATTAAAACTGTTCTAAAACAGTTGCAATTCACTGTATGTCAGTGAGTGGGAGACCATTCACTTTTAACAATATCAATACAAAATTTCCAGGAAAAAAAGTATTTGTTATACTTAAGACATCAACAGATATGAAAAAACCCTACATGTAAGACTACTGAAGGCACATCAGCTTTGGTCCCATTTTGTCCTCCCACCTCATGCCCTCAACCACCTGGTAAAGCCCTCAAATTAAATAGTTCAGAGGTTTTCAACTCTTTCTGGAAATAATTCTCAATTCCTGTTAGGATTTGCTTTGAAAATAGCTGGCAAACAGCCAGTATATAATAAACAAATTTTCACAGGACAATTAAGAGTCAACAGTTAAAGAAAAAATGTGTGCACTCTGAATCCTTTCAGCACAACAGTAAAAACTCAGTCTGGTAGTTTTACTCTAGTTAACAACATAACTAGGACAAAAGGTAAAGGCAAAAAAAAAAAAAGTTTTTTTTTTTAAGCAGTTGCCCTCTCATTTAAAAAATAGCAGTACATGCTAGTAGCATTACAGTGGTGAGTAACAGGTCCACATTGCTCAGGGAAAAAATAAAATTAAAAAATCGCTTTCTTAATTCCCAGCTCAAATTAAAAACATCAAGGGAGTGCAAGATATCTGATTTCACAAGCTCCATGCCGGTACAATTTAATCAACATACAAACACAGGCTTGTCCTCTAAGATCAGAAAATGCCACATGGGCAAATATCCTCAGAAGGCTATCTCTGGAATATATTAGGCACAAAAAGGCCCCATTCTATCTGTGCACATAAAAAGTGCAATTAGTGGGACCAGCAGACAAGGCAGTCAAGTCAAATTACAAATTAATGTTTCAGAAAAAAACTGAGAGAAGCAAAAGCTTTATCATTATGCAACAAATCACAGGACACTTGAAAAGGCACTAAGTTGTTCGTGGGTTGTTAAGAAAGCCTTACTGCACTTTGAATCAAGGAAAAAATGGGGCTGAAGGTAACCCAGAGCTAGTGTGGACTTCCCAAATACACAGGCAGAGAACTCTGAATTCAAGACCACGTAGAGGGAAGAGAGAGAAGAGGAGGATTTTGCTATTTGTTAGAACACCACAGCTAATTAAAACTTTTTTTCCCCCCTACATTTAGATCAAAATAGGAAACAGAATTATACCCTCAGGCATTTCTGGTACCTGTTGTGAGGATTTAACCACTGAGAGCGTTAGTGCTTTATAGTACAAGTTCTGGGTCACAATACCTGCACATTACCAACTATTGCATAAGTGATTAAAACAGAAATTAAGAATCTACATTAAAAGAAATTATGAATCTGTCTTTGATCACTTAATGGGACAGCATGGAGAAGATGGAAACAGACTTTCCTGGGGAGTTGCACAGTGATAAGAGAAGCCTGGTTATATATATTAGGGAAAAAATCCACAGTGAGGGCACTTGAACATTGCAACAGTCGCTCAGAGAGGTTGTGATATCTTCATTCCTGGAAATACTCAAAACTTAACTGAGTGATTCTCTCAGTAACTGCTCTAAGGTGGCCCTTCTTGGAGTGGGAGGTTGGACTAGAGACATCCAGAGGTTCCTTCCTGACCTACCTCGTTCTAACAGTCTGTAGACTAATCACTGTCTTTCCGAAGCCCCGCTCTTTCCACAGATATCAAGGAGTCTACTCAAATTTGGTTTTGGCAATCAAGAACTAAGATGCAACTGTGCTTTTGCAGCCAGGCACTAATGAGTTAAGCGCAAAATAAGAATTACTCCTTTTCATCCCAATCTCTTACTAATAGGGCATTACAACAAACAAGAAGTTATCATTTTTAGTTATTCAAGGCAGAAGACTGAATGAGATAAACTAGCCTTAGCTAGAATAATCTTTCTGTTAAGCAAAACATTAAGATGTTCTGCTGTTTTTGAAGCTTGTCTGCACCTCTTGAAAAAGCAGGTATCTCCCTAAGAGACGGTGTCTCTAAGATGTACACAAATCTAAAAATAAGTTGATAAGGATAATTCAGTTACAGAATTACAATAACAAAAGAAGATTACAAGACGATACAGGATAAACCTAACAAAACTAAAAGCACACAGAAGATCACAAATATCTACCACCTAGATTTTTCTGAAACTAAAAAAAATCATAAATCTCCACCAACTTAAACTGTAGGCCTCTACAACTCAAACCGCAAACAATTAAGAGCCTTCATTATCAATATTCTAAAATTGAAAAATTACTCCCTTCTCCAACAGAATGCCAGATACCTTCATCCCTTTAGATTTGTTCAAGCATTTCCATCTTCTGCTATCAGAATCAATAAATTAAAATGCATGTAATGCACAAGTTGGCATGCCAATATGACATCTTACACTGACAGTATACATGCACTGCTCCTGATGTTATATATGCCAGTATTAATTCTCAATCTTAACGTTGCTTTTACCTGCCTTACAGTTACGTTCAGAACAAATATAATTCCTTTCATCTGTAGCAGCAGTCCTCTAAAAAAATGACAGACCCTATTTTATGGATAATGCTTTTCCCTCCTTGAGCAGGGGGGTTGGACTAGACGATCTCTAAAAGGTTCCTTTCCAACCTCAACTGTTCTGCGATTCTGCGAATGTTCTACCATTATCAAACCACTCTGCATGCACTAACAAGGGATATTTCCAGTCAGCAAGATACTTAACGCGTTATGAACTGGTATCAGTGTGACTACTAACAAGGTTAAACACAGACATGAATTAAATATCTTGCTGAAAAAGGGCCTATCTGCAAATGAAAGTGCTCATGTACTGCTGCACTTTGCTGAAATCACACAAAAATGTTACTTTTATATATATTGTTTTGGCACCACAGAATTGCTTAGTTCCAAAAAATTGGTTTGAAATTTCAAACTGAATCAGCCATTTTGGAGACCGAAAGATTATCACAAAAGCCAAATACAACATCTTCTATTGTACTTAAGCCATTTTAAACTTTCCAGTAAATATTACAATTCTGTATAATTATTTGTGGTGCACAGCACCGGCTATATCCACTTATGTATTTAGTCTGATATTCTATCTATTGTTAAATAGCATGCTTCTATTGCAGTACAGAGGTCTGCCAACTTCATTACTACGATTGCCTGCTGCACTTATAATTTAATTATAAGTCATTAACAGAAGGCAAGCCCATATCTCTCTGATACTGCAAAGATCAGAGAGAAAATTTGAAGATGTTTACATGAGGATAGTCAGCTCTTGCTAGAAAGATGATCATTCTTTTAGAAAGACTGAACTCTTCAGAATTCTATTTCCTAACTGACAGCTGGCATTACAAGTATGAAATATAAATTAACAAAAAACTAAAATGAATGACAAAACATTACAGCAGAAAAGCTCTATTTCTGCAGTTGTGAAAACAGAAGCGGAAGTAAACCACCACTGTGAGAGGAATACCGCTTTAAAAGGTGATTAATTGTAAGTAAATTCTAAAAAATTGAACTCCAAAAATCACTTAAAATGAAATTTAACTTGTAAAATGCAATTAAAAATCACTACTATTCACATATATTTTCAACAAAAAACCCTAACTGCATCTCAGCTCATTTTCCAAACAGAAATGGACAGTCAGTACTGAAATTCTTGATTTACACAGAAGGAGGAATGCTTAGTCTGTATTAATTTAGGCTCTATACTGAAAGAAAAATGCAGGAACCTGAGACAGAATATTCTGAATAGAGCCAATGTCTTTCAAAAAATTAAATAAAGTCTAGAAACTGGAATGAATGTGCTGTTTTGTCTTTCTATATAGGGTTTTTCTGATGGATTTTTCTGGGAATGAATTTTTTTTTTCAGCCACATATTAGTTTAGGACAACTGCAACTGAGTGAGTTTGAAGAAGCCTACAGGATTGTGCAGAGTTAAACCTCACTCCCACTCTACCATATCTCTATATCAAAGCACCAGAGATTGGAATTCAGAGTATTACTTACTGAAAAAACATTTCTGAAGTAGCACGAAAAACATTTTAAAAAAAGATCAATAAGAAAACTTTCACCAAGCATACAATAAATTTTTCAAGATATTTCAGATAAAACTCTAAGCTACTGTATCATAAGCACATAGTAAGGCACGTAATAAGAAATTAAGTAAACACACAGTAATTTAGGTATTAGAGATTATAGTGGTACAAAAAACCTCTGAGGTTTAATTTTTTTCCCCAAAGAAGATCTTACTAAAAGTAACTTCTTCAAAATTTGTAAAACCATGATAGACCTGAATATTTTCCTTAAGATTGTAAACATTTTGTTTTTAAAAGAAATGTATAAAACTCTTTGAAATTAGGACTATTTTCTTCTCTCAATTTCTCAAGTCCTCTCATAGTAAAAATACCATATGGAACTTCAACTCCAAAATTTTAAGTCAAACTAAGTCTCTGATACCACATCTTGAAGAAACTTGTCCAATATCTTTTACTCCACAGAGAGAAGGCACTGCCTTTCCTCTAATAATTTAATCCTTGTGAACACCACACACTTTTTTAAAAGTCTTCTTTAAAGATTTGCCGAAGTATAAACACTCCTGCAGTAAGATAAATACTATTCAGTGGACACTCACAGTCAGTGCTCGCTTTTCTTCAAGAAACCCAGGCACTATTTCACATTCAAATTAGTGTTTTATCTATATAGAATAGGTTTACTATTTCATTAGAAATATTATTTGTTTGGTATATTATAAAAAAAAACTAAAAGCGTTGTTTAAGGTTAACTTGGAACAAAGCCAAAAGGATATTCTCAAAATATAATTTTAAGGAGGGAATTTGCTGATAAATGTTGTTGCTAAAGAAATTTCATAGGAGAATCTTTTTTATGCAGAAATATTAAACTTGGACCACATACTGGCAGCTGAAACTGGAAAAGATCATCCCTTGATTCTTTACTGCATGTTTGAATACACAAACTCAGAATGAACTTTTGCTTTCAGAGTCAGAGTTGGTCACAGCTGCTACAGTCTCTGTCTGTTTTACTGAAACTGTAAGGCAGTCTTAAAAGGAAAGTTCACAGAAGAGTCAGATTGTAGATTTTGAGAAGGAAACTCTGAGGTGATGTTTTTCTCCAAGGTCATGATTGTGAAGCGCAATGAGAGCCTGGACTGCTTCCTCCACAGAACCCAGCTGGATGAGAGCCATTTTGCGATCTTTCCTTAAGTACAAAAAAACATTATTAATCCTAATGAATTTTTCACTGTGCTAAGTCAACACAAAGTGATGCAAGTATTTTTTCAGCCACTTCACCCCCTTTTCACATTGAACACTTGCACAGCAAAAGAATCAGAATTACCAAGCGCCTGCTAAAACACACAGACAAAAGTATACAAATTTTGTAGAACAACGGCCCACAGCCACGGCTTTCTTCCAATGTATTGCATCTAAAAACAGGGTTGAAAGAAAGCTCAAAGACCTCTAGAAAACACTTGTACTGAACATATGTAAGAGATTATTCTAGCAGGCATAATCATGCTAAAATAAGGCCTGCAAGCAGCCCTAATAAATGCTAGAACAGAGCCATTGTCATCTTTTACATGATGTTTTATATGTACAGAACTTGTACTTTCTCTTCTTTTTAAGAAGCTGTTATTTCATTTACTTTCCTTAAACTTACTTTCCTTTGAACAAACGAGGAATCTGCCAATAGACAAGATTAAATTTTAAATGTGATATTATCTTCGCATAATTAAATGAAAAATATAATATCAATTTGAATTTATTGTAAAGATTAGATTTATCATCAAAATCATTCAGCTTTTGCCTATAGCTACAGCTTTGTACACACATGGAATTTCCACTCCCAAAAAACTAAAGGTTGAAAGATTGCTCAGCACTTTTACTTGAGAACTTACTGGAAGAACTTGAAGGCTTTCACAGTCGATCCAGTACCTGCAAAAAGGTTCTTCAGATCATCAACAGTAACAGAAGCCCTAATTAAAAAACAAAAAACCAACACAAAACCGTGTCAATTTGTAGAAGAGCACAGAGTTCCGTAATAGTACTGAATTTCCAGTTCTGGCTTCTACATTAATTATGAGCAAAAGACACTATCTCTACCAGCTTGAGGCCAGTCAGCCTCCCAAACTTTACCCCAAAACCATCTTGGCTTTCACACTAAGATTTGGCACTGCAACGTCCTACAAAAATATTTCAGATACAGACTGTTGCTTCACATTCTCCCCTACTCCTCCCTCTTAAATTCAGATTGCAGAAAAATCACTGAAGAACTTAACTATTAATCTCAGAAATAGCTTTGATCTTGTAATTAATACTAGCATGCTTTGTACATTTTCAGTTTTGAAAGTTTCCTATTTTATTCAAAAAGCCATTTTCTGAGTTTCCTATATTGATTTTTCTTATTTGGACAAAATTCCATAGTTCTCCTCCTATCTCCAAGCTCCTCCCTGCACAGTTGCAGAACAAAAGAAGCCTATGCAAACTTACAATGTTTAGCTGTCACTTCACACGCTGCTGACAATATGCTTTAAAGAAAAGTTTCAGTTTTAAACACAGTTCTTGATTTTTTTTAAAAAACAAACTCCCCTCTAAATAAGAGATCTAAATTTTGTAAAAACTGTCATTTAAGAAGCACTGTTTAAAAATTGCATCTACGTTACACAATAATACCAGTGATGAATCCATCATATATATGATATATATGATATAATGTTACTCTAGTACATTGTCTACAAAAGCCTGTCTTCAATCTTCTGCAAAAACTTACAGTACAGGACTTAGGAAGTGAAAAATGAATGCACCTTCTCAAGAAAATACAAACTGCATTACAACTCATAAAACCCAGTAATTTTCGATCTTTTATTCTCTTTGCCAATCATAGAAACGTAACAGTAAAAGGATTTGCTTGCTAAATTACATAGCTAAAAGACCCCTATCAGTCAAGAAACTGTAGAAGGCAAAGGAAATTTAAAGCCCATGTAAGACTTTGTATCATAAAAACATTACCTAAAAACAATTATTTTTCCAGGAATTGCTGCTATGTAGGTACTTACGGGATGTTAGAGAGATGCAGGGTGGCGGATGGAGGAAAGATGTTTTGGAAGTTCTTAGAGCCAGGCTTCTTAAAGCGATGTAAAGGGCTATTGCTATAGTCTTTCGTTAGACCTTGGTCCTCTTGTCCCTCACGAGGAAGTTGAACTGTCTGATGTTTTGAAAGGGTAGCACGGAGCACCTTTCCGTACAGCCTCTGTCCATTCAAGTGGCTCATAGCTAATCAGTAGAAATACCATTTGAACAGGAAAACATAAGAGGGAAGGGGAAGAAAAAACGGATTCTTTGAATATTGCTGTTGTCCTCTATTTAGCATCAGATTTTACATTCTCTATTTAAATAGCAACTTCCACCAGTGCCAGGTGCGCTACGTTTGCCTCCATAATATTACATTTAAAACAAGTTTGTGCATGCTGTATAACCTGTTGTCTAAACGCAACAAAAAAGCACGTCAGCCCTTCACAAAAGAACACTTATTATTCTCAAAAAGGCAGATGTATGATAAACAGGAAAATTGTAAATAATTCTCATAGCACTTATTAGATGAAGGCTTGTGGGTTTCTTTTTTAAACCACTAAAGAAAAAACAATTCTTTTACATGAAAGTCAACATTACAATACTAACTTATAAAGCAAAAGTTTGTATGTAGTAAAACCTCGGTGATGAATCTAATTCATTTATGCTAGCCACTGACAGATGACAAATTCTCAATCCATACTATTTTCGTGCTAGATAGAACCGTAAAGAAGCTTTTAAACATTCCTACCTAGCTGAGCCTGGGTCGCATCTGCCATTTGAACCAAAGCATTTTCTTTTTTGTTAAACAAGATCTTCACACGGTGTACATCACCATACACACCTGTACAAATATAGAAAGAATATTTGTCCAGAACATTTCCTATGAATAGCACAAGAGCAAATTTGTTTACTTTGATGAAGAACAGTGTTACAAAAAATAATCAGCTCATTAAAAACAGCTTGCTTAGAATCTAAGGATGAAGAAGAGCTTTCAAGCTTGTGTATTATTTTCGGATGTTTTGAACGTGGAGCCCTCCCCCGCAACAGCATCTCAGTCATAAAACTGCGTGTTTATTTTCAACTGCTAAATAGTGCAAAAGTGTTAAGATCCCCTTAAGCAGAGGTATATTAGAACATTACCATGCCACAAAACATTTTCTCCTCCAAGTAAAGTATGTGCCAATTCTATAATCCGTTTCCTCCAACGCAGTCTTTGTTTTCTGTCTTACTTTACTTTCCCATTCTTTGTCGTGTAAAAATAAGTAAGACCATGCACACTGAAATTCTGCTGCTACCTTTTCGGTACCTGTGCCCTATGACTACCGATTCAAATTATTGTCATTTTAAAACCAGCACATTCTCTTTTGTGTTTTCTGCACAAAGAACAGAACAAGGGAATGGTAAGTAATCAGTGTGCGTCAGCTATATGCATAACTGAGATATATTATATATATATATATATATATATAAAACATATACTTTATATACATGAAATCTTACCAAATAGGATGAAGAGTCCATGTGGTGTGATGGCCTGTTTAAATGACAAAACAAGTATAATATTTTTAAAACAATGCAAATAAATTAGGAATCAATTCCCTAAGTCCTTTGTAAGGAAAAATGAATGCAAGAGATACAAGAAACCTGTTATGTGTTAGCGTGCAGTATTTCTTGAAGTCATTCCATGAATGACTGAAGCATACTGCCTTCCTGTTAGTATGCGTTTAGTAATCACATACAGAACATTTAGAAAACGTAACACTTCAGCTCGCATTTTCATCACGGAAGACTCAGTCTATTTTGCTGAAGAAGCAGTTATTAAGTGGCTTAATTTAGTTGAACCTACTTTTTGCCTGTTAACATTTCATTACAAAAGCCATTTGCTAAACCAAAACAACAAAAGAACATTCAAGAACATATTGGAAGATGTTTTCTAAACAGTAAACAACATCTAAAAAATAGAAACAGTTGCTTCAGAACGTATTTGCTTTGCCTTCAATTTTGTCTCCATCTCCGCATATCACCATGCTATGTTAAAGTCATGCACATACTATATAATTGTTTACATATGAAGCACTCAGAGTGGTATTTAAATTGTGTCCAGTTAAAATTGTGAATAGAAGTTAACTATTGAATGAAATGTTTTCTGTTAAGTGATTTTTAACTAAATGCTAGTCCACTAAGCTCCCCAAGCACCTGAGAGGATAATCTACACCCTAACAAAGCCAGATTTTATCCAACTGAGGCAAAGGTTCTGCCAGTAACGATTACTATCAAAACCTGGGAACCAAAAGCCCTACTCCCTCCCTATAGTCCAATCCTTTCTTAACTTGCAACACTTCCTTCAGTGGGCATTAAAATATAAATACATTATTTAAAACCAGAACGGACTGCAGCTTAAATATGACCTCATACCTTATCATCAACATTTAGGGATGAGGAACAATTACTATCAACGTATAATGTAAATGCTTGCTCTTGTTTTCTGTCTCAATAATATTTTAATTAAACACTGAATTTATTTAAAGATATTTCTTAACTAGACCAGACTGCAGGCTTCCTACCAAAAAATGGGTTTGTGAAAACAAGAACAATTGATTTAAGAGTCATGGAGAGTCATGAGATATGGACACTGAAACCCTAACAGAAGGGAGAAACATAAACTGAAATTAGATGAACCAGATTTTCTGTACACAGACAAAGAAACAACAGGGTTCAAACAATCGCCACTGAATAACAAGGGAGACTCCGTTACACAGCTGCTAAAAATATATTTAGCATAGACCGGCTGTCTCGCATTTTTATTTTTACCTTTTAAGAGCTGAGCATTATTCAGTGAAAACATGTTGTATCATGCACTGCAGCACAAAGTTCTACATGACAGCTTCTTAAATATGACTTCTATAAAGCAAAGCATCACTGTCCTAAAAATAGCTTTGACTTTTGCTTCACATATGCTTATTCTTAAAAAGATCATTCTTTTCAGACTCAGATGATCATCTTGAATAATTAGCTGCAGAAAGCACTTCCACAGCAATAGTCAGAAATTAAATAATTCTCATCTTTCCTACTTGCTTGTACAATACTTTCATTCCATACCAAGCATCAAAAGAAAATACTGTAGATTAGGACTGTAAGAGAAGGCCGCTATTCTTTGCTTTGTCAATATAACTTATCACTTAGAGACATTGAAATAATGGGTCAAGAGATTTTAAAATCTCAGTAATGTGAAGGTGACTTTCATTTTGACAGTAAGTCTTAATATCATCTGTTTCATAGGTAAATAAACCTAATTAGTATGTAGAGCAAGAAGAAATTTGTCGTTACTGTAGCAGGCTTGTCAAGTAGAACTGTGTACTAAGACATGGTCTTGGTAAAGTTTTTTCACTTTTTTTAAACAGGATGCAAATGACCTTTAATTAAGCACAGATCAATGTGCAGTATTTGAGAAACAGCAGTATGTTTATGAAACTATCTATGCTATTACTGCTGTAAAAATAAACATCAAAATTGTCCTTTTCTACCAAGATATGAAGAAAAATCAGTGTGGTTCTACTAAAGTGAACATGTGTATTCATTTAACTTAAAATGACAAATTTACAGAGCTGTCAGTACCAAAGACACCTGTATTCTTATTCCCCTCCAAACCAGGCAAAGTGACAAAGCTAGAAAGATCCTATCAATGCTTTGAAAGGTACTTGATTTATCGTGCTTTTAATCTCCTTTGCCGTTCCCTCCCATTTTCCTGACTCTTTCTGTTTTGTATCAAACGAAGAATTCTTTCGCTTCTCTAACGATGAAAGCGATTCAGAAAGGAGTCTCATTAGTAGAGATGCCAGTGAGCTTACCAGTAATATATGCTGTCTAGCTTTTCAAAAAAGTTCTCATATCTCAGCATAGACTCCTCTGATTACTCTTTTCACTTACACTGCTAATACAAAATAATTAAATATTTCCAAAGTTAATTTGTGGTGTTTGAAAGTTTTCCACTGCTGACTGGAGTTTTTAAACCTCCTCAGTATTGCAAATTATCTCAAACATGAAAAGAGCAGTCCTATATCTGATACTCTCAATTTAAAAATTTCATCTCTTACTCCTCCAGCTAATTTCACATTTCAGTAAGGATTCTGGTAGTTGATACTGTTTTAGTACATAAATACTTGCATTGATTCCACCACCCAAACTTACCTCAGAGTTGAGGTTGCTGACCAGTAAAACACAATTTCCCGGAACACCAGTAACACCTGGAATAGTCATCCGTCCAGACACTGCAGCGGTGGGCATTCCAAGAGGACCAAGTGCTCCAGGAAAAGCAGGAACTGAAAGACCTGGAAGGGTATTAATAGAATCATATGACATCTCAAATTAAGTAGGAAAATGCATTTTAGAAGACTGAGAAGCAGACGTAGGTCTGCAAAAAAAAAAAAAAAAAAAATCAATATTTAATAAAACCAATGCTGTCAAGTACTTCAGTCACTCCTAATAACCAATTGAGAAACCAGGAAGCACAGCAGACAAAGGAATATTCAGCCACAGCAGGGGACCAAAAGCGGATGCAAACTGCAGCCCAAGAAAGATGAAAGATTATTCAGTACAAAAGCGTATCTTGTGTTAGAGAGGAGATTACTGAGTCGGGAAGATTATTATTTTTCATTTTGTACCTAGAAAAGGGGAGACTTACTGCTCTACCTTTGAGGGTCAAAGAAGTCTTATGATTTTTAGCAAAAAAGGTGCCTGGAGTTTCTTCTCTTGCAGGTAATTTTTTTCATGGCATTTAATTTCTTATTAGATGAAAAATCAATCACACCAACTTATGTTTTTTATTATAAAAAAGAATGTTATTGAATAACATGATACACAAAGATAATCAGAATGCCTCAAGTGAGCTCTGTGTTCTGACTGCTACATTTGAAAACAAGTATATTCTGACAGACCACTAGTCCCAAATGCAACCACCACATTTTTTTTAGAAAACAGGAACTTACCAGCAGCTTGAGAAAAGCCAATGGCTGGAGCAAATCCAGGAGGCCCTGAGTATGGTGAGGGGATGATACCTGGTGTTCCTAGAGACAGGAGACATACTTAATTAAAGCACATTTTAACATCTTTAGAAAATAGAAAAGACTTCAGGAATGAGATTCAGCAGCCAACATTGTTATTTTCACTTAGGTTGGATAATAATATAATTTAGGTTTTATAATATATTAAAAAACTGATTGAAATCCAAAATTCTGTATTCAAGGAGATAATTTTCAGACTTTTTTTGGTGCAAGGATTCAGATCACCATCAGTGTCCCCTTCTAAATGAAGTCAGGGTAAATTGCAATGTACACTAGTTTGATCAGCAAAGAATAGCATAAATTAATATCCATTCAAGTTGAGACATCTGTGAGCCAGTGTTCAGTAAAGAATTGCTTTTAACTGTCAGAAAATACACTTATGAAGGAGGTTATGCAAAGATGATATACTTATTTTAGAAATATTTAGGTTTTTTTTTTTTTAAATGCTCCTCCTAGTAATCATTAAACAAATTTTGAATAGCAACACACAGAGCAGTAGCCCCAAAGATTGTTCAGTTGCTTTAATATGTGCAGTTAGTTGCTACCCTGGGCAGCACAGAAGCTTGTGTTCTAAGAGGCAATTAGATCCAAGCTTGAGTTGTAGATTCTTTCGTAAGTTAGCACATTAGATTTTTCTTAAATTATACATATATAATCTGTAAATACATTCCTAGTGCCCATAATATGTTGAATATTCAATCCTCCACCACTACAGCTACGTTCCCTAACAGATGGATATTGACAGGAATGATACAATATCATAAGAATTATCACTTATGAGTTACAAAAACAACAAACGAAACAGACCCCACAGATTCAGTATTCATGAACACTGCATCATATTACACCTCCTATCTGTATTAAAGACATTTTGTCACTACAATGTCATGCATTTATCACACCAAAGTCAGTTGTTGTGTTCTTGTAATGCATGCAGGGGTTCATTATACTGACAAATTCCAGCAATGTAGGTATCAATCATGTATTCACTGTCCAAGCACAATAATGCAAACATTACTGAAGAATGAGATAAAGGGCTTTTATTTTGCCAAACGAGACCTGCATGTTACACACCGATACCAAAAACAGCCATGCCAAAATAGTCAAATGGAGCTAAAGCAGAAATATCTGGAATTTTGTGCACGTTTATGGACAAAATAATTTGCTTCATATCTTAGCAGCTAACTTTTCAAACATACTAATTAATATACCTACTGCCTGTACTCACCAGGTGAGGAAAATCCTTAAAGGCAAAATATATTTCAAAATCTGCTTATTAATTGTTAAAATATCTTTCCTACCACAAAATGAAATTTCAAGAACAGTTCAGTTTCACTAGTAAGATAACTTCAACTCTACAGTAAAAACTGGATATAGCATTTCAATAGAAATACCTGCTTTATCTTCTTTTTCCCCATCAAAAATTGCTCCCACTAGAAATAACATAGAAAGCCTCAGTTCTGACAAGACTCCAACATCTTTGCCTCATATCATGTAACTGAGAACTGCTTGAGCATGCCTATGGCAGCATATCCACCTTGTTACCACTGATGGAGAAATCAGAAGCATGCTTTTCTCAGTCTACAGCTGCTTCCCTAAGTCAAATCTAGCATGCATTTTTTGAAAAGAAAAATACCTGTGCAGCTGCTTCACTATGACCACACTATAAACTTCCTTCATATTGACACAGATGTCAGACTCCTATTTACACCAACACCTCTGCTGCTCTTACTATTATAGTAGGTGCACAGATTGAAAAACAGATTGTCAGCAGAGATAGACTTGGAGGAGCGAGGCGGAAGGAAACGCAGACGTGTTCCTGTGTCATCCCCTTTAAGCATACGTTCAACGTTCTCTCTTTCCTATACGCAGGTGTACTTAATAATCTACTATAATTTTATTTTACCTTTTCATTGACTTTTTAATTGTAAAAACGTAATTCATCAAAATATGAGATCTATAAAAGCCACAGAGCACACTGTTTTCATGATGCTGTATGGCAACTTCCTCAAAAAAATATTAAAATGGCTGTGCATTACATAGAAAGGCTAGCTTTGGATGTTTATCACAGAAATAATCAAGAAAAGAGTGAGTGCAACTCACTTTCTTATTCTAATTAAAACTACCATAGCCAGCTATTGGAAAAAAACAAACCAAAAACCAGCATCTGACATAGCGATCTCAGAAAGATGAAGGAAAAAAGGGAATTCTCCCCTCACCTTGCTATTATTCTGACCAAAAGGACTGTCCTTAGATACTTATTCAACAGCTGACACAATTCTTAGTTGCATACTCCCGCTAGTAGTTGTCATTAGAGAAAAACAGCTAAAATTGCTCAAATTGCATTGTGAGCACTTCTCCCACATAATCAGATTAACGTTTGCTGATTCACATTATTACTAACGTTTATTAAGCGAACATGCATGAGCAATTATGACAAAAAGGCTTCTCCAGTGCAGCTCCAAGCAGACACTGTCCCCTCTGTGCCATGGCAGTGACGTCTAAGATTCTAAAAAAAGCTTCTAAAATGTCATCTTTTAAAAGATAATTATAAAACATATAAATATTGTGCATATTACTGTATGTATTGTTTTTCAAAGCCGCCAGTTGTCTTAAAGTATGAACAAATGAGAGCAAATAGGCTTTAAAACATTTATTTTCAAACAGCTTCGGGAACTGTGTCAATTCTGGATGACTGTGCCACCGACCTTCATGATATGCAGCATTTATTATCCTACCCCTTGGCAACCGTATCATTTCACACCATTTTACTGAAACAGGTTTTTGACAGTCCTTCGAGTTTGCCCAGCAGCACTCCTCACATTATGGTTTCACATATACATTCACCCAGAATAGGATTTTCTACTTCCCAAGCAAATTTTACTGGAATCTAACAATCAGAAATGCACCTAAAATGGACTCTTCTTTCAATAGAACCATTAGGGAGCCAGACTGCAATGTAAAAAACATGATGTAATTGTGTGCATTTATCATTAATATGGAAGACTTCTTACCAAAGGCAGCAGCCATAGGGGGCTCCAGGGAGGGCTGGCCATCACCAGAGGGAAGGTCAAGGCGAGTGAAATCTCTACTTTTGTCGTTGTTGTACTTTACATTAAGGCTAGTTAACTTGGAGAAATCAATACGCAGAGTGCAGCATGCGTTGTAGACATTCTGGCCATCCAGCGTCTGAACAGTTAAGGTGTCAGAGACAAAATGCATAGTTACAGCCCCCACCTCAAATTTATATTTCACCTCACAATTTTATCCAAACAGAAATCCATTTTCTCTGTTTAAGGTGTTGCTTCCAAATGTCAGGCGGATGATTACACTGCTACTATCCCTTCTTAAATATCCTGTGCAGAGTACTAGTGTAGTCCAACCAATATTATGTTGCTTTGTGCCAACAGACAAGATGATTGTCTTCCTAGATATGCTTCTAACATTACTTGTCTCCCACTCAGCACATGGTATCAGGTGCTGGCAGAAATATTAATTTTGAGATTTTTAGGATAGGTCAGAAGCAATGAATTATGCACATTTGAAATTCTTTCTCATGGATTTTGATTTTCATATCTTTTAAACTGAAGTTATGCTCAAAGAGATCACTGAAGTAGTATTTTCTTCAGAGATCCATCATAAAAAATAGTAGTGGAGAAAGGGGAAAAAACCCCACTCAGAAGCTACTGTTTTGCCGTAAGTTATAGAATTATAATTTCAGTTTACTATATATCCATAGGAGTAATCATACCTATTTCCCTGAACTTTTTAATCAGATTTAATTCATTAATAATACTGGTCCTTAAGAAAAGATGCTATTGCTGACAAACATGTTATAGTCCAATTACCTTTATTATTTCCTGATATATACTTAATCCCTAAAATACATATTGCGTTTACCTACTAGGAAACTAATGGAAATTAACACATGGCATGAAGTGCAAGTACCAATATTTAAATATTGTATGCCTTTAATTTTGAAACTGAGAATAAAGCCAATCTGAAAAACAAAAGTAGTGTGAAAATTCCATTACCCTTAATCTTTCAGTAACTTTTTGAAAAGACTGAATACTAATTACCACTTCATACTTCAACAGAATCTTTTTTTCTGTGTACTTTTTCTGAGAACTTTAAAATTGATTTTATTTATTCACTAATTTGAGGTTACCAACATAGAGGAAAGAGAAATGCAAAGCACCAGCTTAATTTCTAGTAAATTAAACACTTTATTTTCTATACTTGTTTGTTAATTCACAGTCTAGGTCTTACCATATGATGAATTTTAACACTACTGATCCTTCTATAAGTCTTAGAGGTCTTAGCTCAATAGCCAAGTGTCAAGCGACTCCCCACTCAGGAGATTAACACTAAATTTCCTAAAAATGAAAATATTTAACTATAAGGCCACTAATTCTAAAAGTTAATTTTTGGAAGAGACATATCTAAAGAAAGAGACCTTTTCTTCAAAATTGAGATCATGCATTTTAAAAATCAGCATATCGCTGGTTTGAAATTTAAGGTGAAGAGACGGATTACATTAAGCTCTCACTGAAATTCAAGACAGTAAAATATCTTGCATTCAACAAATTAATCTCAAGGCATGTAACTGCACTGCTTTTAGGCCTGACAGGCACTGAAAAATATTCTACTCGGTTTGACAGGCAAAAGCAGTTCCTGGAAAACCACAGCTACTATCACTCAGCCCTAGTCTCTGATTTGGTGGAATCATACAGGTCTTGATGTATGTGCTCATATGTTTACGCTTGCTGTTGATAAGGCAGCATTATCCTCTTACCTAACTAGGGATACTGAAGTTATTCTATGCAACATGAGAATTTAAGCATGAGAATGACAAGCAGTCATAACATTAATAATTGATTATTTGTTAATTTTATGTATAAAGACCAGTTTATCTGGGAAACAAGCCAAATGAAAGAAAAATACATCAGCTGAATATCCTACATTTACCATTTTGGCATAATGTGCATTCATCGGATCAGCATACTGAAGCAAGGCTTGAAATTGATTGTTCTTTGTGAAGGTGATAATCTTCAAGACAGTTCCAAATTTAGAGAAAATCTGAGAAGGAATAAACACATACTTCTGAAAACCATTAAGTACTCATCCACACTAAAGACGAACAATTCAACACTTCATATAATTTTCTGAAGAACGTTTTCTGCAGCGAGAGCAGAACAAAAATTGAATGCTGTTTGCATTTTGCTTCAGGTCCAAAAAAAAAAAAAAAAGTTCAGCCCAAAGCCTTTGTCCAGTGTCTACAGATAAACTATAAACTGGGGACAATGAAAGTGAAGGCTTGAGAAATGGAACGTTAAAAACTAACTGAAACAGGGACAGCAAACTGCCTTTGGAAATATCAATATTTACATTCTGTACTTTGAACAAATTCTTTAAATTTAGTGGCTGAAGATGCGTTCGAAATAGCTCATGTCTCTACAGATTAGCTACGCAGACCAAGTGCTGAACTAGAAGTCAAGGAAGCAAGACAAATCCAGCCTGGGACCCACTCCTCTCTAATTTATAACTGAATGGTATTTAGTTTATTGCATATGCAACCTCTGTAGAAGATTTCAAAAAGCTGAAATTATATATGCATGTTCAAAAGTCAGAGTGTGTTCTACACACAGAAACACAAAGAAGTACCCACAAAGAACAAGGGGGAAAAAAGTAAAACATGGCGTGAAAGCAGAAAAAGCTAAATCTGAAATAACAATGACAGAGGACACGGGAGTTTGGGAACTAAGGACAGCAAATTTAAGCAAGATAGACAGTGCAGGGAAAACAACAATTGCAAAGGTAACTCGACATCAGGTTTAAGAACAAACTATTAGAAGTAAAGCAAAGCAATATAGCAGTCAGGAAAGGAGAACTCCCATTCTGCCCCAGACAAGTTTTAACCCTGGAACTGAAAGAAATGCCAGAGGTAAACAAAAGCATCTCTTATCAACCTACTAGGCCTAGAATCATGGATACAAGACATTGTCCTAACCCTTTGCGCTCAATTCTCTCTATCACAATTAAGGTTTTTATGCCACAGTCATCATTTTGTGACAGAAGATAGAATAGAAACTTTTTTCACAGTAGTTTAAAATTAGCTGTTGAGTGCCTGTTCACAAACTACTTCCCCCGGCAAAATACAGAGGGAAAAGCACATGCTCAGAGTCTATGTTTCTACATAAACAAACACACCTTTTTAAGGCAATGAAATTCAATGCATACCTCTTTGAACTTAAAACCTGCTCTATATATCAATTTCGTTTATATAAAGATAATACCGAAAAATCTCTTTCTTATTTTAAAGTAAATTTGGTAAAAAATGAAGTGTTTCCCGGCAAACAGTTATTCTTTGCAATATATAACTAAGTTTTTTAGATGACAGCTTACCCGCCAGTATTCTATATAATGCTATATTAATTAGAGAAAATTTGCATTTCCATTAACCTTGTCACACTGTTACAAAACAACGTGACCTTGTAGCTACGTATCATGCACAAAGTGCTGTTCTAATGAGACAAGCGCGTCCCTTGTTAAGAACTCCGAATAAGATTCCTTTTCAAATATCACTTAATTTTCCCGGCTTACTGAAAAAGTAGTTGAGTGGGGGTCATTAAGCAACTTAAACATTGAAAATACAGTTCTGCTGCACTGAAGTGTTAATTTTATTAAAGTAACTTAGCATGAATTTTCTCTTCTGCTGCCTGCTTAGTAGGAATAACCAAGGTCAGCTCCAGGAATTGCTTTTACACTGTTAAACTTGTACAGCTCCCATGATCATAAAAGTTAGTGCACTCAGAATAACCTAAGAATAAATAACCCTGAAATGTTAACATATTTGTACAAACATATTAATGAGTGAACAATACTCATAGATGCAAGCAAAAGTTTAGACCATGCTAATTGCTACCCCAAAGCGAGAACAGGTAAGCGTGTTAGCTAATTGGCTTCATAGGGGAACACAGGGAAAAACGAAATATTCAAAAGAAGAGGAAGAATAAAGTGTATTAAGCATCTCAAACAATAATTGATTGTTAAAGTAGAGCTCCAATGAGAAGAGCAACAAAAATCTCCTTCCAGAACTGTAGGCCCTCATAAGAGATTCCCAATTATTTTAAATCACATTAATTGAGGAATCTCATATATTTGGGGGTGTTTTCTGTTGCCCAAATTGCCTAGCAGGAGTTACAGTGAAGTCTTTCATAGCTATAACCCACAATTATTCCAGGCTCTCAGGAGTAAAGTAGCTGACATTCTAATAGTTGATGAAAAATTGAATACATTTGTCCAAGTGGCTACACTTGTCTATTACATCACTTACCTAAACTGATAAAAGTTAGTATTAAATCCTCAAACAACGTATACTACAAAAGTTACTCAGCATGAAGAGTGCTAAAACATTTGCTCAAATTCATAAGAATTACTATTTCATTTTCTCCTAATTTTGGCATATATTAAAAGTAACATCCCATGTTAATTGCTGCTAGGTCACAATTCTGTTTATCATCTTAACCAAGGAAGTAAAAGGAGTGAAAGACAACATGAAAAGCTGACTACAGAAGCCCAATTTGCTTTGATTTTTTTTTTTTCAGGCAAGATTGATTCGAGCCTAGATCCATAAATTACAACAAATTATTTTTGAAGTGATAGTTTTCATTCAAACTGAGAAACCAACATAAGGATCCACGGCCTTTAAAAAACAAAAAGTTAATGGATTTATACCAGTAGTATAGAAACAGATTTTAACTATTTGCTTGATCAGTCCTCATTACCTGATATAGCACTTCCAAAGTGACAGGATAGAAAAGATTTTCAACAATAATTCGAAGAACAGAACCTTGACCTGGAAGGAGCCCAACTTCAGTAGCAAGAGCACCTGTAATAGCCAGGCTTCCAGACTGCACAGCATTCACAGCTTGCAACGCAGCTTGGGCTCTCTGAAATGATCACACAGGGGAGACCACAATTAACTTACACAAGTATGAATTACTCATATGTAAACAACTTCTTTCATATAAAACATACACAACTTTTAAAAACCATTTCCTCTTTATCTGATTACCTACTGAAATCCCAGGTGAGTAGGCAAATTATTCCCCTTCCTTTGCTTCCTCCAGCCCCTGAAGAAGTCATATCAGACTTGCATAGAATATTGGTATGACATTCTTAAAACTACCTGACTATGTGAGGAAGGGCAAAAGCTTTTTCAGTTAAATGCTTACTGTTTTTCTACCATAATGCCATATAAATGAAATTTGGCATTCTTTCTGTATGTTTTTGTCATTCCAGAGGTATATTGTAATAAATCATTATCATGACCATATGCTGGTGCACAACCAACCAGTCAGAACACCAAGAACCATTTGCTCAGCTTCATTAGGATTTCATTCTCTTCACAACCTAAGTTTGCTGAGCATAAGCTTGAAAGCGGTTTTTTCCTCAGTCAAGCTTTTGCCCACAAAAAAAATCTCTTTAGATCTTACTCCTCAGTCTGCTCATCTGGGATGCGGGAAGTCTGTACAGTCATTTTTGATTGGCTTTTCTCCAAAAGGTCTTCAGTCTACCCTCGAGAGCACTATGGAGAGTCTTTCCTTTCCAGATATACTTGCAGCTTGAAGCCATGTCTCCGTGATACCCTTGCCTTGGAAGATGGACTAAACACGGCACAGGTACAATTGTTGTCTGCTTTGTGAACATGTAACCCAGCAAAAAATTGTCTCTCAGGCCCGAGCCTAGACACTACAAGGTCTACAATGACGTGCTCAACTGCTCTACTAGAATCTCTAAGAATATCTAAAAATTTAAAGAGTCATAAGCGGAAAAGAAAAGAAAGGTTATATATATATACATTTAAAAGAAAAGAAAGGTTATATATATATATATTTAAAAGTAAATGATGTTTTTATAGGATGACAAAGCAGAGAATGAGTTATGCACTAAGTTAAAAATGCCTCTTTGCAAATAAGAGGGTAGTTTTCCCAAGACTCTTATATACACCATATCCTTAAAAATGTCTTATTTTTACACATGATAAACCAATCCGGCAATCTTGGATGAGAAAAGAGACAAGGCAGGCTGACAAACTCACAGTCAGTGACGTTCAGATCAGTGCAAATTAAAAACGAGTACCGATTTTTGTCCTGATCAGAATTTGCAACATTCCTACAGAAAACAAAATTGATCTGCAAGTAGCACATTCTATGATTTACACAGCTAAAGGACAGGTCAATTGTGATTCATCCAGGAATCCAAAAATCCAAGTGAATTTCAACTACAATATGATGCTTTGTATACTTTGATCTTATTCTGAGAAGAGGGTATTTCCTTGTTTAGAGATTAGGATTAAATTCAGTGATCTGCAGTGATCAATTTATAGTCTAAAGAAATCAGTTTTAAGTGCTTTAACAAAATATAAGGAAGAAAACAACTCTGGTGCTTGGCAAAAAGTTATACAACACCAATTGCATGTACCACTGAAAACATTCATTCATTTTAGGATTCTTCCTTATAATAAACAGTCAACATTAGAGATAACATTATTAAGAATAAACTTGAATACAACTTGAAGACCTTGATTTCCTGTTTCTAACTTTGGTGAGCCCTTGGAAGTGCTTAAATACTGAACACAGATCTTACAAAAGCAGGTTATAAGACCCCTTGCAATTACATCCATATCTAATTAAGCAACAAGATCTGCTGTCTGCGCACAAAGTGGATTGGATCATAATGGGTGGGCTTTCCCTTCCTTGTGTTCTTCAGATAGCATCTACAGCCCCAGGACTAGCAATTAACTTTAAGAAAACACAAACTTGCAAAATTCAAATAATATAGTCTGTGGTAAGTGTGATACTTTGTTACTGATACTGGGATTTTTCCTGTTGCTGTTACTCTGTAAAAAGAATTTACCATAGAAAACATCCTCTCCATGCTCTGAAGCTATTGAGAGCTATCTAATTAGGAATAACCAAAGTTCTTCCAAAATATTGTAATCAACTATTTCCAAGTAGCATAGAATATAAGAAAGTCCACAGAAACCTAAGTATAGAAACATAAGTATAGAAACATAAATATGCCAAGCTAATGTAAGTCAGAAGCTAAGAAAAGATTAAAATAGTGAAAACATTGTGCAAACATTGCACTAAAGCAAAATAAGTCTCCAGAAGAAGGACTTCATAGCATACAAAAAACGTAATCTGGCAAACTGTTTTGACTTTTTAAATAATTTATCTAGGCTATTTGTCTCTAGAGTCTAACAGTACTAGAGTTACATAAAATAAAATTCCAGTAAAAATACTGGAATATTTTTCACATACATCAGTACTAGTCACAGTTATGGATATTTTACACACAGTCCCAAAGCCAACTACATTATAAATTATTGCTTTACGAGTGAAGTTTTCAGTGAACTACAGCTTCTTACTGATCATTACAGCAAGTCCTTTTTCAACTGCAGATGTTGGAAGAGCAACAGAAAAGCAAAAGAAAGACTGCTTGAAATAAAAGATGCATCTATGACAAGAAAATAGCAGTATTTTGATACATAGATAACAGTATCACTTGTTGAATGCCTTCCAAAACTTCCCATCCCTTACACAGCTGATAGCATGGCACAAGTATTTGCCTTCTGATGTAAATTTCAGTATTGAGCCAGTTTCATATATGGAAACAACTGGATAATGAAATGACCAGAACAGACACATGCTACAGAACTTTTAAGCTTTTGATCTGCAGAGGGTATATCTGAACAAAAAAAATGACCAAACGCTACACTGGGGAAATTGAGGTTGGCAGGGCACAAAGGAAGTTGTGAGAAGGGTTTTATTTGCTCAGTTCAGAACTGGGATTTGAATTTTGCTATAAATACCACTTGGCAGAAAGCAAACTTTATTCTAAGTAGCTTGCTTTTTTTTTTTTTTAATATAAACTTTATTATTCCACAGTTTAAAAAAAGTCAAGAATCCTTTGCTGTAAATCAACATTACAAAACCAAATACTGAACTGAAACTACTTTAAATATTATCACACGCTTTATTTTCAGAATACGCTATTGTTAATAGACAGCATAAGTAGCAGTCTTCAGAATGACCAAGGAGATGTATCAAACACTACAATCAGTTCACATTTACCATTGTTCAGAAGTACACAGAAAACCTTCTACTTTAGAGACAACGCGCATAAGTTTTTCTGCTTTGAAGGCATAAAAATGTGTTCTTGAAATCACAGTACTATGGTTAGTTTATAGATAATGGAACGGATGACACTTCTAGTTTAACTGAGCTTCTGGGAACAGTTCCTTAAGATGTAATGAGCCAACCTAAGAGATCATTGCTAGTAAGAGGAGACTCTGCTGATTTTTCCCCTCATCACAAGCCTATTCAACACATTAACCCAGAAAAATACTACCCTTTTTTGTTGTCAAGTTATGAACGGAATCCCTCACAGAAGAACGCAGCAAGCACCAGCCACAGTATAAAGGAGAGAGCAGAACCACCCAGCTGGAGGCGAGGAAGGATGTTCCAGACCCTCTCCTTTTGGTAGCAATAAGCTGTTGAGGTAAGCTCAGTTACTGACAGAATTACTGCTTCAGGAATACCTCAAGCTTTTCTAGTTTTAATATTGCTATACTTAACTATAAATGTTCACTGAGGAAGGCATTGTTAGCATCAAGTTTCTGTCAGAAACTTCATCGGGAAACCCGATTACAGAGTAGTTAGTCTTTAGAGTAGCTCCTTCTGCAAATACTCCTCAGTTATGTCTTCCCAAGCTGTTTAATATTGAGAGCAACAATGATCAGACCAGTGCTATAACATACAAATAAAACGTTAAACCTTTGCATTTTTTTAAATTAGAGCTCCCTTTCTAATTGCAAACTTCGGCATTTAGAAACATGCTTTCATAGACTTAGGCTTTGAGGGAAATTATGAATGATCTCTTGTACATAGGCTATGAGTGACAGCACAACATCTCCCTTAATGAAACATGGGCACGTTCTTTCCAGAGGCTTCAAATGCTAAAATGCCAAAATGCCATTATATGAATGACAGAGGTTTCAGATAAATGAAGCTAGTCCTTTATCTTGTGCTGAAATCCATTCAGAAGGGAAACAAGAGTGTTCTTGGTCATTGCAGATTGCATCCGTAATTATGAACTTGGCCATCTCTAGGTTTGGACTAGAAATCCATTCCCAATTACATCATCATAAGCATGAGTCTGCTGAGGTATCCAGAAACCTCTTCACAAAGAGAAACCCACCTGTTCCCTTCCTTGAAGGAAAGGACTTTTTTTTCCTCCTATACGAAGGCTTGGCCACCCCATGAAAAAAAGATCTTTCACACTGTTATCCTTCTAGATTCCTGCGCCACAATACTGCCAGATAAAAGTTTATACAAGACAGATGCTTAACAAAGCAGTATTTCATAACAACCATCTCATTTTTAAAAACAGAAGGCTATCTAGAACAGTAGTGTGGAATTAGTTTGACTTCTTTACATTAGAAATTATTCTCTAGAACAGTCTACCCAAGCAAAGGGAAAAATATCTGAAAACCCACAATACAAATGCTGTATTTTTCCATACAGTCTGTGCTTATTTAATATTTATGCAAGAAAATAACACCAGGAAGGATGACTTTTTGGCCAGGTAACTAGTTACCTCTACATTTGCAAGGCATGACACGCCATTTAAGAAAGAGATAAAGTCAAATAGTTGTTTACTGAGAAACTGAATGCAAGAAAAAAGGTGCAAGAAGTATTTTACAGATCACCATGTGCAAGAAAGATGTCATTATCTCCAGCCTCTGGGCACTACAATCTTGGATCTACTGAAAGAGAGAAAACCAGTTTTGTAGTAGATTTTTTCATTTGTTAACTGACAGGAAAACAGTGCCTTGAGGAATTCATTAATTCTACCTATTAACTCCCGGGAAAAGCATGGGATTCTTAGCATCTATAAAGACATAGAACCAGAAACACCTGTTGCTTCAAGTTTTGATTTACATTTTGTGGCTGGGCAGCAAAGAGGATGGGTCCCCTTTTCTCCTCTGGCATTTACATTCATATAGAACCTTCTAGAATAGGGGAATGTTTTTTTCCACAGGAATAAAAAGCTGTGCTTAACTGAGAAGCTTCTAGAGCAGAATGGGGTAAACAAGGGAGTCTTTAGCACTGAACACAAACTGGGAGATTCCTAGGAGAAGCAGGGATCTTTTTTGCAGCAGGTAGTAAACGCTACTACAGCCATGTTTCATAGGTGACAGAAAAGAGAAAAGAGTCCCAAACAGGACTTGAAGAAAGAAACCAACCACACAGAAACACAAAGGATAAGTATGCCTTTTCAAAAAGGTTCATCCATCTCTGTTAGTAGAACTGATCCTATCCTTTCCCTATTTACAGGGTTGTTCCTTTCTTGTTGGATCTCAGGATCCATACTCACTTTATAGAAGTATAACAGCTGCACCTCAAGTCTGTGACCAGCTCAAAACGGAAATGATGAGGTTGGAAAGGATCTCTGGAGACTGTCTAGTCCAATCCTCCTGCTCAAAGCAGGGTTAGTTACAGCAGGTTGTTCAGGGCCTTGTCCAGTCAGATTCTGAGTATCTCCAAGGATTGCTACTCCACGACCTCTTTGGCCAACCTGTTCCAGTGTTTGACCAAACTCACCAAAAACATGACAAAAAATTTTTAAGTGGAATTTTCTGAATTTGATTTGGTGTCCCCTGCCTATCATCCTGTCACTGGGCACCACGAGGAGAGTCAGGCTCTATCTTCCCTATTTGCTCCCATCAGGTATTTGCATACATTGCCAAGATGTCCCCCCCATCCTTCTCTTTGTCGTGCTGAACTATCGCAGCTCTGTCAGTCTCGCCTCAAGTATTTCAGATGCTCCAATCCCTTAATCTTCTTTGTGGTCCTTCACTGGACTTGCTCTAGTATGTCCAAGTCCTTCTTGTACTGAGGACCCCAGCACTGGACACAACACTCCACATGTACCTCACCTCATGTAATCCCCGTGAAGGGCACGAGAAGGGGAGCATGGAGATCTGTCTCCTTTAAATTTCTTGTTGCCACTCCCATTTGCTAAAATATTTTATGGAAAGGGACGGACAAGCAAACAAGACAAACTGATTACACAGTAAAGATGCCAGAAGTTGAGGGGGAGGCTCACCACCCTCAGCCTGCTGGCAACACTCTTCCTGATGCAGCTCTAGATGCTGTTGGCTGCCTTTGCCACAAGGGCACACTGCTGGTTCACAGTCAACTTATTGTACACCAGCACCTCCAGGTCCTTTTCTGCAAAGTTTTCTAGCTAGTCAGCACCCAGTCTGTACTACTGCGTGGGATTATTCTTCCCTAGGCACAGGAATTTGCACTTCCCTTGGTTGAACTTCATGAGGTTCCTCTTTGGCCTTTTGTGCTGCCATTCCAAGGGACCTTGACAGGCTGGCCAACTGTCTGGGGTATCAGTCACTCCTCCTAGCCCTGCATCATCTGCACACCTGCCGAGGATCCACTCTGCTCCCTCACCTAGGTCATTACTAAAGATGTTAAACTGGATTAGAACCAATACTAATCCCTGGAGGATACCACTAGTGACTAGTAGGACTTTGCACCACTGATCCCAAGGCTCTGAGCCTGGCAGTTCCACCAGTTTCTATCCATCTCGCTGTTCTCTTATCTAGCCTTTACTTTTTCAGTTTGTCTAGGAGGATGTTACGGGAGACAGTGTCAAAAACCCTACTAACACCATCCAGTGGCTGTCCCCTCATCCACTGAGCCAATCATCTCATTGCAGAGAAGGCTGTCAGACTCGTCAGGAGTGACTTTTCAAAGATAATCAAGAGTGACCTTGCAATGTGCAATGGCACGGGCCAGCTCATGTCCACTTTGTTTTAACGTTCCCTAACCGACCAAACGTTAAGTCTTCATGGCTCCAAACTTTCCCTCTGGTCTCAGAGGCTTGGAAGTTTGCAGGGCAGCTCTTTCCAACAAAGTCTGAGACAAAGAAGGCATCTAGAACCTCAGCTTTTTCCATGTCTATCCTTTGTCAACAGGGCCCCTGCCCCACTAAGCAGCAGGCCTACATTTTTGCTTGTCTTCCTCTTGCTGCTTGCTGATACACCCGTAGAAACCTTTCTTGTTGCCCTTCATATCCCTCACTAGAGGCTTTGGCTTTCCTAACCCATCCCTGCATGCTCAGACAGTGACTCTGTATTTCTCCTCAGTCACCCGTCCCTGCTTCCACCTCTTCTATGCTTTCTTTTTATGTTTGAGTTCTGTCAGGAGCTCCTTGTTCATCCATGCAGGCCTCCTACCACCTCTGCTGGATTTTCTGCTCATCAAGATGGACCATTCTTGAGCTTGCGCTCCTCCATAGTAATTTTTGTCTCTGCCTAGAATTCACAGAAAGCTTACAGACTAGATTGCAACAGAGGGAAAAAACATCCATTAGAAGTTGATTATTGATGTAGCATTAGCAGAAAGTAGTTTATTTATTGAGTAATGCAACTCATCTACAATTCTGTCCTGTTAAACGGCAATATTATACTTACAGCCTGATTAGGTAGGTTGTCAGTCTTAAGTTCTCTGTGATTGGAATACTGAATATAAACAGGCTGACTGCGGAGGTGAGGTGTAACAGGAGTATAGTAGTTCACCATAGTAACAGCAGCTTCTTCAGAAGCCATTTCCAAAAAAGCCTGCAAGCAATACATAGCAGTTTTCAGTGTTCTTTCGTTTACATGAGAGAATAAAGCATTAAAGCACTATTTATTGCCAACTCCACTATCACTAAAAAAAAAAAAATGTGAAAGTATAGTAGTGTTTGGCTCAGTATTAAAATACATGTGTGCATACACGTGTGTGTGTAGTTGTGGGGCTACTGCTTTGTGGGGTGTTTTTTAAACTTTTTTACATTATAAGTACAATAAATCATTAAAGAGATGGAGCAAGTATAACGCTTAGGAAACTAAGCTACTGAAAATATTACACAAAGATTTGAACAAAAACTAATCAATCTTCTTTCACTTAAAAATATAGGCATCTTAACTAACCAGGCAAGATATTTCAACACAGCTGTCAATGTCAATAATGGCAATGCAGTTCTTGATCACCTATGTATTTTAACAGAAGATGGATATAACGTTAATTAATCTTATTAACTTGTTACTCAAAAGTATATTAAAAACTTATGATAAATATCAATACATCCTTTCATATTTGAAAAGATGAACATCTTGAGCCATCAGGGAAATATTTAGACATTGTTGAAACTCTTAAGTCTAATGCAATACCAGAACGGTCGTATAACACAAATCGCATTTCTTCAGCCCTGCTCTTACACTGAAACATTGAAAATAACATACCTGACTTTTTCCTTTTAGCATCAAGAGGTTGGTTACTTTTCCAAAAGGCAGACCTAATGAAATGACTTCTGCTTCAGTGACATCACTTGGAATTTTACGAAGATGAAGGACACGAGAAGGGGAGCATGGAGATCTGTCTCCTTTAAATTTCTTGTGGCCACTCCCATTTGCTAAAATATTTCATGGAAAGGGACGGACAAGCAAACAAGACAAACTGATTACACAGTAAAGATGCCAGAACCTAAAAGAGAGAAACTGCTCTCTCAACACAGACTGCTATCTACAGCTTTGTCCTCTGCCTATTTGTTTTTTTTTTTTGGGGGGGGGGGGCGGAGGAGGAAAGTCTTACAGCCAGAGAGGCCAATAACTTCTTCTCAAATCCCCCATAACATATTTACGTTACCTACACAGAAAAGGGCTGAGCCAGTAGTAACTGGGGAGGAGGTACATTCATTCTTTTTTATACCTTCTTCCTATATCATCAGCTCCTTAACCAGATTTAGTTGCTACCTTGAGTGATTTTTATTAACGAAAATCTAATACTCTGCATGCTTGTATGTTAAAATGTCCTTCAACGGTATACGTAGCAGTGAGTCATGGCATCCATACAGATTCCAAAAATCAGTAAATAGCTTTTTTGAACATACGTTTATTTGGATCCTGTAACAGGTAAGTGACCAACAGCTACATGTTACGGAGCTGACTCGGAGCCCTTGAGAGCACTTTTAGACAGAACACCACATCTGAAACAGGCATATGTTCTCGAAGCTATCACAGTGGAGTAATAACTGCTACAGTAATAAGAAGTAAATTCATTAGCCTAACTACAGATCCCAGTAATAGATTTTCCTAGAGCAAGCTACAGAGACTTATGAGACCTGAAGAAAAAAAATGTCCCAAATTGAGTGGGAAGGCAGCATATTCAATGGAAAGGAAACTATACTGAAAACTAACTGCATGTTACTCAAGTTACGAGAAGAAACAGCAGTCTCTCAGTCTATGTGCTTCAAAAAGCTTTATTCCAGCAAGATCGATAGCCTTCAAACCACATGCTCTAAGTTTCACCTTAGCAGGAGAATCCCAAAACATTAGGAACAACCTAATGTTCCTAATTAGGAACAACCATTAGCATGCACTTACTAAGTAATTTCAGATTTTCCTTACGTTTTGAATACAGCCTAAGGCTGAGAATTCACAGTTCTGGGCAAACAGCTTGTAAAGACTTCCACCATTTAAAACAAAAAAAATATCTACAATCTTAAAGCCAGATGATACAAGCTCCAACAGCGGCACGCTTATAAGCTAAGGTATCAGATTCCTCCCCACTCTCCCTAACAGAAAGGGGTCTGTCATGCCTGGCTTTTTCCACCTAGAAATTTCAAATGGCAATATGCGTTCTGCGTGCATTTTGAAAAACGTGAACAAATAGCATACTTGCTGGGGATGAGATTTTAAGAAGAAAGAGAAACTTACTGAACGCATATCATTAGCAAGTCACAAGAGGATATATTACCATGGAGGTCTTTAGGACTTGTCCTATCTTGTAAAATCTACTTCTCAGGCTCAAAAGGGATATGATTAAGTCCTTTACTTTAAATGAAGCAGCAAACGAAACTGAACATGCATTTTGCCCTTACTTTAGGATGAGGGTTTCCCACAGAAGCAATATCTTCTAGGTTCTGACTCACTATCATAAGCGAGAAGACAGAACTAAGCAGCAGCCAGAACGTTTTCTCCTAAGATCTTTTCTAAGAAGAGTTATAAGAGTTTGCAGCTGAGGTATTCAGCCAAAATGGAAAGCGCTCACCTCTGTAAGACTGCACATCCTCTGTTTCACTTGTTAAGATCGACTCATTAGCAAGCATATATGTCAGCTCTAGCTGATTTAGCTTTTGAACTCTGATCAAAACCTGACCTAAAATCTTACACGCTGCTAAAAAGCTTCCCCAGAGAAGTTATTAAATTAGCAGTAGACGCTAGCATTTATTCCAAGTACAAAAAATTCTCAGCTTCTGTTAAATCATTCTTTCTCAAGCGATTATCTGATATGAATCTTGAGGCAGAGAGCTAATCATGTATATCTTCTAGCATCTCAACTTCACAATGGCTTCAGCTATCCCTTAAAGCATGCCCACGGTCATCACCTTTTCGGAATTTTATGCTAAAACGGGTGAAAGCAGAAGATATAAAGCTAAGAGAAGCCTTATAAACATGGAGAAGTTTGGGAGCTGGCATTACAAGAGAGATTACTTATGAACATGATTCATGACTGCACAAACATTCTCCAATTCAATAATCTCAGATCAAGAAACCCAAAGTATTTTAAATATGTGACCTACCGAACAAAAAAACCTGCTACGGTTATTTTAGGTGAACAGCTGCATCTCCATAGAGATAATATAATCCTAAAATGAAGTATAGTTATCCGCGAGGAACTCTAAATTTCCACATTTATTAGGAGCCAGACACCTCTATCCTATTTTAAAGTTTAATATTATTTAGACTCTCTGGAAGTCATTACGAATTGTCAGTAGTTGTACTGATAACTAACAAAAGCTACATAAGCTCAGTACAGATTTATACATCTTGCCAGCTGGCGTCTTCCCACAAAACTACTATCTACCATGGTTTGAAATATACTTAAGTGACTAAATTACTAAATTATAAGCTAATGCTGTTTCAAGCCACTTAGAGGCCTCTGGACTTCATACTGACTCAACTAGCAGAAGCATATGATGCATAGCAGAAGCAGATGAACAATCTGAGATGTGCAAGTCAAAGTAGTACAAAAGGAAAATCTAAGTTACTTCCTCAGTCTCTTTCTCCTCCTTATTCTCCACTGGAAACACAGAACATAAGTCTCGAAGGTATATGAAGGTCATCTGCTCCATCCATTTCTCCACAATAAAATCAATTATCTAGAAACCACTGCTGACAGACAATTGCTTTTGTCGTGAAAAAGTTTATGCAGCCATGGGCCATGAACACTTCAAGACCACATAAGCTGAGAGCATGTCTAAAAGAAGCAGTTCCAGCTTTCTCTCACTCCCAATTTTTCATATGACCTATTCACCAGGTAACCACAAGAGTTTCTGGCCAACGCATAGGAGCGGGGCACAGCATAAAACTTTTTTGACTGGTAGTACCACTTTAAAATGTTTGAAAAAACACGGGAGTGTTTTCATGCTAAGTCTCTATATTGTATAAACAGTCCCAGTTTCCTTACTCTGCCTCTGCCTACTAAGTTTGCCACCTCTCAAAAAAACACTGTGCTGAAGAATAATATGTGCAGCTATGCGGTAAACCAGATCAACAAACCCATCTGATCAAAAATTTTTCTTTTTTTCCCACTACTTCCCTTCCCAAAACACCATCACTCATGTGACTCCTTGGAGATACGGTTTAGGGACAAACTGACAGAAAAGCATCTACAAAATGCATCACAGGATTCTGGAAATACGGTAGAAATCGGGAACAAGAATACCCCTTTCAGCAGGGAATCACTTTAGCTCTTTATCAGGAAACCAAACAATGTGTCTTATGCTCCACCAAACTGAGGATTGGCTTCTGGCTCTGTAATCCTGATAACCTCGTGATAGTTGAAAACAAATTCATTTCAAACACAATTGCGGGAACACTAACCAGGAGCACAAGAATCTCTACAAAAAGCTACTTGCTTTATCATGATTATTGAATAGACATTTCTTGGCCCATTTGAACAAGCCAGCTTTATAGTTCCTTAATATTGTCAGTGAGTAAGACTTCTGGATAGACTCCAGTGGCTCTACCGTTGGAGTCTAATCAGACTTCAAGACCTGGTGAGGCTGCTCTTGGAGACATTAGAGAACACAAAAAGAAAAAAAACATTACCAGTGAGAACACATACATTGTTGAAAAACTGTGATAAAAAAAAAAATCTTTTTTTTTTTTTTTGTATACCTGTAGCTGGAGTAGAATTGCTCATGGTAAAAGGCCTGCTAGCGGCAACAGAAGCAAGCAGCTCGTCAGGTCCAAGCTAAAAAATAAAAGACAAGATTACTAGGAAACGGTGTTATGGAGAAAGTGGCTGAATATAAAAGCTAAACAACTCTTGTCATTTAGTCTTCCCAAGAATATTCCCTTTATATCTCCATTCTCTACTCAACACGTAGGCAGGTTGTTACAAACTTATGTTTCAACAACAACAAAAAAGTAAATACTAACCATACAATTGTTCATTCTGTTTCAAGAGGCTATTAATGAGGTTCACCTGTGTTACATTGACTATTTCTCATATTCCTTATGCTACTACAAACAGTTTGTTTCAAAAGATCAAGCGTAACAAATGGCTAGGAAGAGAAATGAGCTCGTAACAAGCTCCGGTCTGCAATTCAGCAGTGTTTCCACATATGAATAAACGCATAATCACACTGATCAGGCCACTATTTCCATCTGGCCACGGTGGAGCTTGAGCAAAACTTTAACTCAGTCCATTTTCATCATATACCTGTTACACATTTTTTTGAACTTAACCCTTGTAACTAGGAATTTGATGGTAGGTAACACTGTACTTAAAATGATATTGAAAAAATCAAAGCACATGCTTAAAGAACGCCGACAGTTTGAGGCTCCAACCACTAGTAGAGAAGATTTTGAGCACTAAAAGTTCTTCATTCAAAAATCAGTGCCTAGCTGCCAGTTAAGTTTACTTAGCTAAGGTTGTACACTGCTCTAATATGCCAGCCAAGCATCAGCTTCTCCATATAATAGTTCTCCAAACTGCCAACAGGAAACAACATACCACCTAGCCTCTGAAGGGCAGCTGAGGTTCCTGAAGCTTTTACCACATTCTTCCACAAAACTATTTACATTAATAAGCTGCATTAAGGGAACGGTTCTACAGAACACAGTAAGCTGATCCAAACAGATCATCATCACTTTGGTGGAAGGGAAGGCTCCCATTCTCCTTACCCCAGTATTCCCCCTGCGTACAGCCACGAGCTGTTCATCTTGCACCACCTCTGGTGCCCATCAGACTCTCTGTGAGATAGTTCAACTCTTGAACCTGCCAGAAAACTACAATGGTTTAGGTTAGCCTGTTCATCAGCTGAAAGGCAGTGTTGAAAGGTGGCACGATCCAGAGCAAAAGAGTGGGCAGGATCACCCGCACAGGAAACAGCTGTAAGATAGCATTCTTTTGGCAGCAGCAAGTTATTATGATGGTTTATATTGGCTGTGGAGGTATCACTTACAGAATGTTTTACAACTACTTTGGAAGCAGTCTGTGCTGCTACTAAAAGGGGTAGCTTTGCCCTTTTAACTCTTGCAATTAACCACATGTTAATACATAATTGCACACATTGACCAGATCGCCTCTCAGTCTTCTCTTCTCCAGGCTGAAGAGGCCCAGCTCTCGCAGCCTTTCTTCAGAGGAGACATGCTCCAGGCCCCTCATCATCTCTGTAGCCCTCCGCTGGACTCTCTCCAGGAGTGCCATGTCTCCCTTGTACGGGGGAGCCCACAACTGGACACAGGACTCCAGGGGAGGCCTCTGCAGGGCTGAGTAGAGGGGCAGGATCACTTTCCTCCACCTGCTGGCAACACCCTGCCTAATGCAGCCCAGACGACCATTGGCCTTCTTGGCCACAAAGGCACATTGCTGCCTCATGCTTAACTTGTTGTCCAGCAGGACTCATCTTAACATTGTATCTAAATAACACATCTAGTATGGCAAACATTCCAAGAAATTATCTTTACATTAAAAGAAAAAAGGTATTGCACAGACAGCATTTATATCACAAAAAATGGGACAGTCTTTGGAACTACATTCAAAATGTAAATACAAAGAGTCTGTTTTAAACCTGTTTTGCATTTTAAGGAAATTCCATTTCTAATCATACACAGTTGCTACCACTTAAATACATTTGCAATAAAACACAGACTAATGTAAAGTCCAGCTTATTTGGCTGAGCAATGGAATTTGCCGTTAATCTTACAGTTCATGATAATTTATTCAGATTTTCACATTTTAAACTTACTTTATTAAATTTATGGGAATGAAATCTTTACTAGATTCCTGATGAGTATTTAGATGAATATTTACTTATTAGGATTACTTCGTGTATTCCAATATGCACACACTGAACTTCTAAGTGTACTCAACAAAAAAAATCTCTGCATTTTTTCAAGAAGGCTGTATCAAAAGCTTGTGTTTTAGCATGTCTGACTCTGGCAGCAGGTGTCTTTACTGAGCAACTTTTACTTATTTTGTTGCTTCATTATAAACTTTGGCATCAAATTCACCTATTACTATTTTCATAGTTGAAGTTAATATCAAACAGCTAACAGGTATTCTTATAAGTTTGTATTTAATTTTAATGCACTGATATCTAAAAAAATAGACCTTTTCAGAATAAAATTATTTTCTAATCCATATCATTTTAAAAGTTTTTTTTTTTTTTTAATTCTTTCCCCTCAAGATTCAAATGAACTTCTTAGGGCAGAAACCAGAATCTACCATTTTGGCAAGCTATGCATTTATAGCTTATGAAGAAGGTAGGGAAGTGTGTAACAGCAAGATTTTTACAAATCATCATAAGTTGTTTGGATATAAGTTTATATACGGGAAAATCTGTAATTTTCCTGGAATTTATATTTTCCTGGAATTTCCTAGAATTTAGAATGTAATGGAATTTATAATTTACAATGAACTAACAAAATTAATAGTTTTCAACTTGAATGTTACTGCTTGCCAGAAAAAGGGAACATCAGTAACTTAAAACATTAGATATTTTGTAGGTCTGCTACATGAGACTGCAACTGGTAAATTTGAAACCGATTCCCTGAGGAAACTATCTGTAACTATCTCCATATGTTCAGTTTGATATAAGGATTTAAAAATAAAGCCTATATTTCATCATGTTTATGTTGAAGAAAATTAATAACCTTATTTTAAATGTTACTATTAGTTTCTAATAGCCACAGGATTTTGATTGTTATTATTTCTTGGCTGCTCTACTGAAATGCTATTCCTTCTCAACCCTTGATATCAATACTGAATTACACATCTACAGCATATCAGTTTTTGCCATTCCTAAAAAAGCAATCACAATTTGATTACTACAGTCCTGCCAAACTAACAATAACTCAAGCTACACTAATTTACTAATTCTCAGAATGAAAGTTACTGGAAAACTGACATAGTAACATTCTCTAGTATGTTCTTCAGTAACAAATCCACACAAGCACTTCCTCTGATACAAACAAAATAAATCCACACAAGCACTTCCTCTGATACAAACAAAATAAAGAGACTAACTCAATTACTTTGAATGAAGACAAGGGAGCAAAAAAAAACATCCCTGGAAGGCTCCAGATTTTTTGCAGAAAATGACCAAGCTATTTCTGAAGTACAAGAACATTATAAAGACGCTTTTCCATATCTCACCAGCTATCCAGCAACGCAACTGCTAAAAGTCTTCTCGGTCATTGACTAAAAGCAAAAACAAAGCTGATGCAAAAATGCTCTAAAAGAACACAAAAATAAATGAGCACAGCAACAGTTCTCCCTTAAACTGAAATACAATGTGCATATGCCAGGGACACTCTGGATAAGTTAAGAGATAGTGCTTACTTCCAGGCATACTCTGATGAACATCAGCACCACCAAACCTCTACTCTTCATGAATACAGAACCGACAAAGAGATGACAGAATTCAAGTTTCTGAAGCAAGTCAGCCTCTCTCCTTTCTGCACCAGGAAGAGCTGAGAGAACTAGCTTTCAAATACTTGGGACATGAGGAAGCATCTAATGTCATGGCAAAGAACTACTACAGAGCACTCCAGTAAAAAGTCTGGCAAGGCCTTGAGCATTCAAAAAGTCCACACAAGAAGTTAGTATAGTCTAGCTGGTACACTACAAGTTCTTACTAAATTTTACTATATAAGCTATAAAATCTTATAATGCCTCTACTTTCTGTATATATGTTTTGCTTTCTGTATATATGTTTTGATTGGCTACTTTTTAGTCCAGTCAGAGCAACCAAATCTTGCCAACAAAGCTCACCTTGATATCCTTCCCCACCTGTTATTTAGACACATTTGACAAGCACTTCTTTCAGCAGTAACATCACGTTACACAGCCACTGGTTTTGCGAGCAGAGCAAAAACCTTCTCTCTCTGTGATGAAAAGTCTATTTAACCTAAGTGAGTAGCTTGCCTCACAGTAACAGGCAAAACTGAACATGTGGACAGGGCAAGTAAGTGCAGCTGCCTAACCCTTCATGATAAGCATTTCTTCTGGCACAAGACTACACTCACCAAAGGTGGCACTGCAGCTCTACCCGAATGCCAGAAGGATTGTACCAATTATGCGGTGAAACTTCTTTCTTCCAGATTACAGTAAAATATGCTTTTTTGAAACTACTTGAGCCGCTCTATGATTTATGTTTATTGTGCTCATGATTCTGCAGTTCAAGTGTAAAAAAAGGCTGCACTCATAGTGAACTAGTATGGCAAACATCTGAGAGTCAGAAACTAGGCTTCATTACGTCTTTATAAGTTAAATACAGTCGGAAACAGGAGAGTAAGTCAGGTACTTTAAAATACTCTTTAAAAAGATGTCCATTCCTCAGAATTATGGTATTTACCCGCGAGGAGGGAGCAGGGCAACAAGTAGGATCTGAACCCTGGACTTCAGGAGAGCTAACTTTGGCCTCTTCAGGGATCTGCTTGAAGGAATCTCATGGGGTATGGGCCCTAGAAGGAAGAGAGTCCAGGAGAGCTGGTTAATACTCAAGCATCACTTCCTCCAAACTCAAGAGCAGTGCATCCCTCTGGGTAAGCGGGCAAAGCGGGCAGGAGACCTGCATGGATGAGCAAGGAACTCCCGGCAAAACTCCAACAGAAGAAGGAAGTCTACACAATGTGGAAAAGGAGACAGGCCTCTTGGCAGGAATACAGGGACGTTGTCAGAGTATGCAGGGATGCAACAAGGAAGGCTAAGGCCCAGTTGGATTTAAATCTGGCAAGGGATGT